AGGATTGAAAAACAAAGGCCGAGACCATATCAGATGAAGTTCTCAATATTGTAATTAAACGAAGGCAGTATTTGTCATATTGAACAAAGAAATGGTCTTATAAAATTTACTCCAAGATTTGAACAAGGGGCTTACACTTGCCTGCTCTTTGGTGATTCCGTGATAACACGTCTAAGTGTTAGGTGCTCCATGCTAACAAAAGAGAACAGCTTATTTACAACAGTCTTGCAGGCAGAGGTCTTTCAAAGTTCATATCATCTTTCCTTCCCAAGGAGAAATTGCTTTGCACATATGCTGTACAAATACCAAATACAAGGAACCTGGTTTTTAATTACAAAGTAAAATATCATTCTAAAGTTGCATAATTGGTGGTTGCCTTTTGCAATGCAATGAACATAAGGGAACCTGACATTAAATCTTTGATGTGTTGCCATGACATTTTCTGAAATTTTATTTTATGCCACTTTTAAGCTGCAAACTATGTTAAATTTGAATTCTTTGGGGGTAATAGAGTGATGGAAAATTATAGAACCTAACTCTGATGTTGGAATGTCTAGACCCACAGAGTGTATATTTCAGATTTTAGAAAAAAAGTAGATACAGAAATAGAGACACACTGAGGTCTTTATTCTCTCCTTACAGTAGTTCCATGTTTTTCTAGATATAGAGGCCATTTAGTCAGGGAGGGATGTCTCTAGCTTCCCCTTTGCATGAAGGGAAATGTAAGAGAGTGGAGAAAAAGACAGTGGCAGTCAGTGTCACCACAGTTGAATGTACAGGCTGCTGAAACTGAGAGAGAAATGTCACAGACTGTGTAGTGGGTATATAGGTATGTGCTGGGTGTGGGGGTGGGGGATTGGTTTCAGGACTTCCTGTGGATAACAAAATCCACAGATGTTCCAGTCCCTTAGGTAAAAGGGTGTACTTCGGTTGCTCTCTGGATCCACACATTCAACCAAATGTATTGTCCCTGGATGAGGGGACTGACTGTATTCTTCTAGGTTTTAGAGTTGCTGGAGGAAGGAGCAGGAGCTATAGGAGGAGGATTTGTTCTGGTTCTCTCTTCCAGAGTGCCTTTTGGAGTAAATATTATTTGCTTAGCAGGGTTCAGTACCACCTCAGATGTTGGTGCAGCTCCATACAAACCAGAGAATTGAACACTAGCTTTTCCCCTCCCCATATCTGCATTTTCTACACCTGCAACCTTTTTTTGTTCCTTACCCCCCAAAGATCTCTGACATTCTGAAAAGTGAAGAGCCCAAATCTTAGAACTGAAAGACACTTTTCAAGGCATCTTCTGTTCTGTCAGTGAGAGAGGAAAAGGCAATTAGGTATCATGATTATAATTTGGGCTTATACATGTAAAACATAATATAAAAAGCAGGATCACCCTACTTGAAATGATTTTCAAAGGTTCAGTATGGTCCCAATGCCTTTGACCTCTAAAACCCCCAATACTAGGTAACTATGACACAATAAATTTAGTAAGTGAATTATAACTATTTTGTAGATTATTGTGAGCAGGGTTGTTACAGAGACTTTAAAAATTGATTGTCTTGTTTTTAAATTTCACACCAATAGTTCATGTATGCACTTTAACTCCAACAGTCAGCTAAATGTCTGGAAATAAATTATTTCTTTCTGCAGCCCCACCTAGATTGTTCTTGCCTTCCTGCTTGCCTGTCCTGACCTTCAGAATGAGTCCAAAAGGTCTATGTCCATGACCTTATCTCCAGGAGACCTCAGTATTATAATTTTCATTGAGCTTTTACTCATTTTCTTATATTTCACTGTGCCTAACAGAGTGTTTGGAGAAAGCAGTGGCAACCCACTCCATTACTCTTGCCTGGGAAATCCCATGGAGGGAGGAGCCTCGTGGGCTGTAGTCCATGGGGTCAGGAAGAGTTGGACACAACTGAGCGACTTCACTTTCACTTTTCACTTTCATGCTTTGGAGAAGGAAATGGCCACCCACTCCAGTGTTCTTGCCTGGAGAATCCCAGGGACAGTGGAGCCTGGTGGGCTGACGTCTGTAGGGTTGCGGACACAACTGAAGCAACTTAGCAGCAGCAGCAACAGTGTTTTGCACATAGCATTTGTTAAACATTTGCTGACCTCAGTTAACAGCTGCCCTCTTGCCAACCTTAAGATACAATTTAGAATTTTTTTAGGGTCAGGAAATAAGTCATCTGCTTGTTGGCCTCCTCCTACTCCACAACGATAAAATGCATTCTAAAATAGGTTGAACTGACCTCAGTGCTTTGCTAAGAACTATGTACAACAGTATGCTAAAATTACATACAATAAACTGAATCACTTTGCTGTATAACTGAAACTAACACAACACTGTAAATCAATTATATTTCAATGTAAAATAAAAATCAAAAAATTCATTCAATAGCTAACATTCAGATTTTCCTGTATATCAGGCACAGCAAGGTCACTGTGCTAAGACTTTTTGTGTATGTGTGCTAAGACTTTTATAATCATGATCTTACTTATAGCTCATAATTTTGTCCAAATAGGTAATAACACTACCCCATTGAGACCCAGATTCATTAAGGAATTTGCTTAATACTGTTCAGCTCATTAATGGCAAAGACTTGAAACCATGCACTTGTCTGATTCTGTTGTGCCTATTCAAGCACCCAAAGCAAGTCAAGAAGTAGGAAGTACTAAATTAGAGAGTTTTTAGTGCACGGTTGAGCAAACAGGTCATTTTGATTTTTTAATGCTTTTAAAAAAAAATTGTAAATCTAATAGTACGTCTGTACTGCTAGGCACATAGCGATGTGTAAGCATGCATGCTTAGTTGCTCAGTCAAGTCTGACTCTTTGCAACTCCATAGACTATAGCCCGTCAGGCTTCTCTGTCCATGGGATTATCCCAGCAAGAATACTGGAGTGGGTGCTATTTCCTTCTTAAGGGGATCTTCTGACCCAAGGACCAAACCTGTGTCTCCTGCATTCCAGGCAGATTCTTTACCACAGAGCCATTTGGGAAGGCCCAGCTACACAGAAGCCTTGTGGAAATTTTAGGCCATCTTCCAAATATGGCGTTTATGGAAACATGATATTTTAATTCAATTTTTAGTCTTAAGAATTATGTTTCATTTGTATCAAGTGCTATAATTGACAAAGTATTTTCATATATACTATGTTATTGGATTCTTATAGCTGCTGAGTTCAGAGACTATATATTATCTGGTTTTACTGCAGAGGATTTGAGTTTAAGAAAGTCGAGATAACTTCCTTCAAATCATATAGCAAGTAAATGTTCTAAAAAGAATTAGTGCTTTTTATCACTCTAATGATTCTGGAATATCTCAACATGTATTAATATCTCTTGAGAGTCTCTTGGACTGCAAGGAGAGCCAACCAGTCCATCCTAAAGGAGATCAGTCCTAGGTGTTCATTGGAAGGACTGATGTTGAAGCTGAAACTCCAGTACTTTGGCCACCTCATGCAAAGAGCTGACTCATTTGAAAAGACCCTGATGCTGGGAAAGATGGAGGGCAGGAGGAGAAGGGGATGACAGAGGATGAGGTTGGTTGGATGGCATCACTGACTCAATGGACATGGGTTTGGGTGGACTCCGGGAGTTGGTGATGAACAGGGAGGCCTGGTGTGCTGCAGTTCATGGGGTCGCAAAGAGTCAGACACGACTGAGCGACTGAACTGATTAATATTTCAACATATATGTGCATTTGTAGTCAAGAGTAACCTACTAAAAGTGATTACAGTTTACTACTAATAATAATAGCAACTTCACCATTTGCAATCAAGAATAAACTACTAAAAGTTTTTAGTCTATTGATAACAATAATCACCATTTTCACACAGGTTGTACACATGAATTGTCATCCAAACCAGGACCCCCTGGTCCTGAGAATGCTAAATGGCAAACTAATTGGGAAGTTGAGACAACAGTCATAAATTGGACCAACTCAAGGAAAGAGGGATGTGTGATTCCCCAATTGAAACAGCACCTGTCTTGTGCTGTCCTATTCTAAACAATTTACATGGATTAACTTGCTTAATTCTCTATCCTAATGAGATAGGAATTATACATATTTCTCAGGTGAGCATTTTCTAAGTGTTTAAGGTCACACAGCTTTCATGGATTCTTTTCAGTGCTCTGTGCTTTACTGAATCTCTTTGCTTGCTTAAAAATAGGGGAAAGGAGAGCCAAGGCCAAAAAAAGAAAGACCTAGGGAAAGGCAGGCAATGCTTATGAGAATTTGTAGCTGAAAGAGACAGCTAGTTGTTTTCTAATGCTAGTGGAAGAGTTGGGGGAATAGTTTGTGGGAAAGGGGAAGTGTTAGTTGCTCAGTAGTGTCCTACTCTTCAACCTCATGGACTGTAGCCCGCCAGGTTCCTCTGTCCATGGAATTCTCCAGGCAAGAGTACTGGAGTGGGAAGCCATTCTCTTCTCCAGGGAATCTTACTGACCCAGGGATTGAACCCGAGTCTCCTGAATTGCAGACAGGATCTTTACCATCTGAGCCACCAGGGAAGCCCCTGGTGTGGGGGAAGCAGTGGCAGTTAACTGAGGAAGCATGGATCAACAGTCTTCCTAGGTACTGTGTGTCTTGTTTGTTTGTTTGTTTAACTTTTTGGCTGTGCTGGGTCTTTATTGCTACGTGGGCTTTTCTCTAGTTGTGGTGAGCAGGGGCTACTCTCTAGTTGCGGTGGTTTGGGCTTCTCATTGCAGTGGCTTCTCTTGTTGTGGTCCCTGGACTCTAGAGCCCCAGACTCAATAGTTGTGGCATACAGGCTTAGTTGTTCTGAGGCATGTGGGATTTTCCCTAATCTGGGATCAAACCAGTGGCTGTTGCATTAGCAGGCAGATTCTTTACCATTGAGCCACCAGGGCAACCCCTTGCCGGTTACTGTTTTTTAAAAATTATTACACATTTACACACATTAAAGATGGTTTTGATGTATTTGGTGCTCTTGGATAATTATTTAATGATGTGTGAACAATTAGGTGAACTCTAAGCAGTTGACTTTTTTTCTAGGCAAGATGGGTGAACCAATCGGGATCAGTTTGTTTTATTAATTGGATCCAGCCTAGGATAGATCCCAGTTTTTGACTGTGAGAAGCCCTCTGGCTTGTCTTGCTTCTGCTGAGGCTAAAGTTTGTTTGTTTTTTCCTAAGTGGGTGTCATCTGTGTGAAGTCCTGGACCCTTTCTCTAGCTACATTCCTTTTCTTTTCTGCTCTATCCCCTCTTAGTTTGTTGAGAGAAGTCTGCTGGCATTCCACTTCACTTGTCAGGCTGCATATAAAGGCAAAGATTGGAGATCTACAAATGAAAAGAAATATTTTAACAGACAATGCCTGGTACTTTCAATCTGATCACTTTACAAACAAGCAGATGCTTTCTCTATTGTACGGATGACCTCATCAGGGAAAGTGGATTAAGCTCTGGATCACTCTACTCAGAGCCATCCTCCAGCACGTCTCAAATCACAGGCCTATTCTTCTGATCTACTCTTGCCTTAAAAAAACAAGGACAATTCTAAATAACATTCATCTCATTAATTAAAAAAACAAATAGGTAAGCATTTATGCCCATAGTTAAATGTAAATAATGTTTTATTAAGTATGAATCATTAAATTGCTTTCACAGTGATTTTAGAGCAAATGTATTTGGGGCAGGCATTATACTAGAAATTCTTTCATGGCTTATTTAATTCTCACAATATTCTAGAACTGCTTTCCCCTTTTTAAACATAAGATAAACACTGGTTAGAAAGATTACATAACTTGCTAAAGATCAACAGTAAAAAATCTATGTCTAATCAATTGGCTTTGACTGATACAATGTAGGTTTTTGTATTACTAAGGAGCTAAAGACGTCAAATTACATACAGTTGTGTTTCATTATCAGTCATTAACTCTACCCTCTTCCAGATTATCTGGAAAAATATGCCATTTAAAAGATAGGAGCTCACTTTTCCAGAATGACCTGACTTTTCTATTTTGTTCTTGTTGATCACCTAACAAAATGCAGGAGGAATGTACCTTGTCTCACAACATATTTTAAAACAGTGTCTTTCACTGTTGTTTTTAACTTTTTTTTTTTCCCTTTTCTGTTTTTTGCAAAACTCTCTTCCTTAAACATCTATTAAAAAAAAAAAAAATAGCGTTTAACAGATGAAGGGCTTCACTGGTGGTCCAGTGGTTAAGATTCGGTGCTTCCACTGCAGGAAGCACAGGTATGATCCCTGACTGGGGAACTGAAATCCCATATGCCACAAGACATGGCCAAAAGTAAATAAATAAGTAAAACAATAAAATAAATGAAAACAGTATACCAGTTGTAAGATCAATTTATACTGTTTGCTTACTATTAAATCAGTCATGTTAAGAGACTGTTCCTATGAACATTGGTATTCAAAATCAAGAGTTAGAAAAGATTAAAAACTAAAAAGAGAAAAGATAGTTGCAGCATTATATTATTTTTACTATCCAATTGTTTTCTGTATTTTTATTTGAGAAGTAAAATTGACTCAAGAAAAAGTTATAATTCATCCTGTTAAGAAATAGTATCTGAATTTACACTTTTAGCTATACAGCCAGAATCTCTCCAGAATAAAAAGAAGACATTCAGGCACATTTATTAATTATTAATAAATGACATATTTGCAGTAAATTCAAATATCTGTATAGAGGTGTCAAGAAAAAGTGGCTCAAGTGAATGTATTGGTGGTTTCTTATTTGGTATAGAATGTATTTCAGTGTAGTATAGGTTTTCTTTTTAAATTATAAATCTATGTGTTATTGAATGTATTTTTATCATATTTTATTTTTTTTATTTGAAAGCATATTTTTATAATGAAATGTGAGCTCAATATTTATAGAACAGATGAATCACCGGGAATCTTCAGAAAGACAGTTTGAAAAGTATAACCTTAGTTTTCTTTTTACTTATTCAAATTCCAGTGATACCTGTGAATCAAAACCACAAAGCATTTTATCATCTGTATTTAGTCATTTTCATAAGAGTTTGGTGAGGCACATGTGAAATGCTATGGAGTGGCACTTAATTTCTTTTAATAATGAATTAAAACCCTTTTAGCTCCTGTTATGAAGGAAGCTCTGAGTACTTATACTTTATTTTTTCCATCTGTGTTGCAAATTACTTCAAATTTTGAAAAACTTTTCTTTAAGACTTTTAAAAAATAATGGTTTCAAACTTATAGAAAAGTTGCATGAACAGTTCAGAATATTTCCATATCTCATGTAGATACAATACTGAAAACTCTGGTGCACATTTCTCAAAACAAAGATATTCTCCTCCTAATCCCAAATAATCCTCCAAATTAAGAAATTGATACACACTACCTTTTAGTCCACAGACCCCATTCAAATTTTGACAGCTTTTGCAATAGCAGCTTTTTCCTTTAACATCCAGAATCATGCATTGTGGTTATTTTTACCACTCTTTAGTTTTCTAAATCTGGAGCATTTCCTTAGTTTTTCCTTAGTCTTAGTCATGAATTCATGACCTTGATAGATTGAAGAGTACAGACATTTCATTTGATAGCATGTCCCTCAACCTGGGCCTTTTATGAGGTTTTCTTATGACCAGATTCAGATCATTCATTCCTGGTAGGAAGACTTCAGAAATGATGCTGTGCTCTTCCTAAATTGATCACACGATGGAGGCTCAGGATGAGCACCCATCCCACCCCAGGTGATGCCAACCTAGAGCACTCAGTCAATTGCCAGCTTTCTCCACCTTAAAATCACCATTTCTCCCCTTTGTAATTGATAAAGATTTTATGTTGAGATAGTTCACACCTATGCCAGTAGCCTCAAAATCTTTAAGCCTTCACTCACCAGTTTTGGCATCCTTTCCTGATTCCTGCCTGAATTAATGACTTTTATATGACTGTCAAATGATGATTTTCTATTTCCATTGTTTATCAGTTGGCATTCTGGGATTGGATAGATTTTCCCCTTCTCCTTCATTTATCTATTCATTTGATTATTTATATCAATATAGATTTATGGATTCCTGTTTTATTCAGTGGATTATGGTCTGTTACTATTATTATTCTGATAGTTTTCCAGAAATGACCAGTTGGAACCTTTGTAAATTTGCTCCCAAGTCTTTTTTACAGTGTTTATATCATTCTTTGAACACTTCCTTACTTTCTATGACAAAAAAGATAATCCAAGCCCATATTGTATCTTCTTCACCCAAGTGCTGGAATCAGTTGTTTATCTAAGGAGTCCTGGCTCCTTTCAGTGAAGCATGGTATTGGAAGCCGAAATCTGCTCTGAGTGCTCATTGCTACTGGAGTGTCATTGCTTCTAGACTCTCTTGGGAAACAGAGCTGAAATTCTATATGTATTGATATATATATACAGATGCATATGTAGGTGTGCATGTATATTTATGTGTATGTATATATATTATGCTCATATAATTATTATTTATGTACACCAATCCATGTCTGTCTGTCATCTGTTATCCAAGACTACCATTTCACCTAGTATTTCCAATTGCAGTTCATAACCTCAGGCATATTCCTAGCTTTCTCATTTATTTACTTTCTTTGACAGTGAGGAGCCTGACTCTCATTACTGACAATGCAGTTACATTTTCTCAAAGTGATTGTAACTAATCTTCCTTTTTTGCTTTGTTCCTTCTCCACCATCTTCAAGAAAGAGAAGAAAACTGAAAGCAGCTGTAGTTTTCTGTTTACTTGGCAACTGTAGCCCTGAGCATTCAGTACAGTGCACCTCTGGAAGTATTTCCTAATCATTTTACCTGTCTTTCAATTTCTTTCTGCCTCCAAATGTGGTAGAATGATTATAGAATATCTTTGTGGAATTAGGGAATAATGTTCGACAGTTGTCCTCAGTCTAGCTACTATTTATTCACTTTACCCCTGCTTCTTCCTTTTCTGTTCTGCCGCTGCTGTTGACTTATTTCTTGACTGAATTACTTTAACAGGTTCCTAAGTGCTACAAATCTTGTTGCCTTTAAGATCTTCTTCCCCATAAACACCAGAGTGATCCCTTTAAAACACAGAGCTGAGTACAACATTCTGTTGCTTTAAAATTTCTCAATGGCTTCCTTATTGCTTCAAATTCATTAATGCGGTTTATAAGAAAATCTATAACTTGATAGATTCTTGTTTTCTCTCCAAATTCATCTCTCATCACTTTCTTCTCTGAACTTCCTGTGTCAGCTACAACAAGTGATTGTATGTATACAAAAAAGTAATTGAGTGAGTGTTTTTTGATACCAAGCTTTCTGGATTTGAATTCTCTTTTATTGCCTGATTAGATATATAATATATATATTTTTATATAATTTTATTTATTTATTTATTTATTTTTGATTGTGTTTGATCTTCATTGCTGCATGGGCTTTTTCTCTAGTTGTGGTGAGTGGGGGCCACTCTCTAGTTGGTGCACAGGCTTCTCATTGGAGTGACTTCTCTTGTTGTGGAGCACAGGCTCTCTGTCACGCAGGCTTCAGTAGTTGTAGCACATAGACTCAGAGTTGCGGCTACTGGGACTCTAGAATACAGGCTCAAAATTTAGTGATGTAAAACAATAACTATTTTAAAACCAGATATTGTGGGTCCAGATTCAGAAAAGGGTCAGTAGGGATAGTTCTATGCTGGGTCCAGAGGATTCATTTCTAAGATGACTTCTCACAAGTCTGGTGCCCAGGCTGATGGATATCAGAATGGTTTCTGCTGGTAGCTGGACATTTTGCCAAGCAGCTCAAGGATCCAACGTGTGTGTTTCAGCAAACCAAGTGGAAGCTGCTTGGCCTTGTATGATCTGACCCCAGAAGTCCCATAGTGTCACTTCCACTGTACTCTATTGATGGTAGCAAGATTCAAGGGTAGGGAACATAGATTCTTTCAACATTTTAAAACTTGCACCTTGGAGGTAAAATGGAGGTCCTAGAAGTCTGGGTTAAGTGAGACTTTTTATAAGGTAGCCAATACACAGTAAGTAGTTGATAAATATTAGATATTTTTGTTTTTCAAGGACATTTCTTCCTGGAATTCAGGTCCTGTTCTCATGATCTGATGAAGATGGAGATAGGTTAGCCCCTTTCCTTGGAAGTCTCTCTTAAAAGTTGCCTCAGGGAGTTTCCGGGTTGTCTGACCTCTACAACTCTTGAGAGTCCCTTGGATTGCAAGGAGATCCAACCAGTCCGTCCTAAAGGAGATCAGTCCTGGGTGTTACCTGGAAGGACTGATGTTGAAGCTGCAACTTCAATCATTTGGCCACCTGATGCGAAGAGCTGACTCATTTGAAAAGACC